ATTATTATTATTATTATTATTATTATTATTATTATTATTATTATTATTATTATTATTATGCTCTGATGCTAAGGATTACTAGCATGGGTATCAAGCTAGTAATAATATGTTTATATTCTATTCATTGGCTAGTCTGCCAATAAGTTATTCTACATTTCTCTAGTCTCACATCATCCATTACAGAAAGAAAGAATATTTTAAAAGAAGCACAGCCTTCCCTGCATTGAGCTGATAAGGCAGAAGGATTCCCACCCTGTTTTTTTCCCCTTTGCCCCACCTTTCAAAACACCAGCCTTAACAGAATATAAAATATTCTTTTTTTAAAAAAAAAGAAAATTTCTCCTTTGGTTTAAGCTTCCTTACCATTGTTCCACAATTCTTTTCTGTTTGCACAATGCTTCCCTTTTAGCCTTGACCCGAAAACCTTGTCACCCTAGATTTCTGCATGCGGGGGTTGTTTTCCAAGGAAACACCACAGAAATATTATGTAGACTATCCTGTCTAGGACTATCCTGTCTATTTACTTTCCCCCCCTGTGTTTGGAAAATCAAGTTTCTTGGTTTAATTTCTATGTTTTCCCTGTGTTTGGAAAAATGAACTTTCCAGTTTATTTTCTATTTTCTTCCCTGTGTTTCGAAAACAAGCTTTGCAGTTTAATTCCTTATTTTTTTCCCCTCCATGTTTGGAAAAAATGAACTTTCTGGTTTATTTTCTATGTTTTCCCGTGTTCGAAAAATGAGCTTCCCCAGTTTAATTTGGTTTTTTTTTCCTGCGTTTTTAAATGGATGTGGAAACTTAGCAAGTGAATTTTCTCCTGTGAAAAAAATGACTTATTTTTGCATGCCAAGCAGAGGTTAGAAGGCAGAAGAGCAGAGCTAAGGGTTGGGTGGAAAGCAGGGTGAGATTTTTGGGGTGGGAGTTAAGAAGGGTTTTCTTGCTCATGGAAATACCTCCTGGCCAAAACGACGGGCCACGAAAGCGTGGATGGTCTCATCGGGTTCGGTTCCACGAGGGGCCCACAGTTCCTTCAACCCACTCCAGACAAGAGGACTGGAGAACGGTGGCACCGTCTGGAAAATGCCCCTGAAACAGAAGAAATAGTATCGATGAAGGAAAATATTTGTAGCTCGGGGTTGGAAGGAGGTGGTCTCTGAGCTTGGTGGTTTTCTTGCAGACGTTTCATGACCCAACTAGGTAACAGCATCAGTGCTAGGAGGGAGTTGGCTTGAGGAATGGAGGAGGGAGGGAGAAAGTGCTGGAAGAAGACTGTGGGGTCTTTGATGCTGTCTGAACTTGGGTGTTTGCTTACTGGCGCATCATAACCCAACTAGGTAAAATCATCAGTGTTAGAAAGGAATGGGGGATTGTGGAATGGAGGAAGGAGAAAGAGAAGGAGAAAGACGAGAAGACGAAGAGGAGGAAGGAAGGGGAAGAAGATTGTGAAGTCCTTGGATGCTCTCAAAAGTTTTGTCATTTTCTTGCAGACATTTCATGACCCTACTAGGTAACTGCATCAGTGCTACCAGTAGTAGGCTGGTGCTAAGAGGCTTTAAGCACTGATGATGTTCCCTAGCTGGGTCATGAAACGTCACCAAGGACCCCCGATCGGATTTGGCGGAATGATGGACGTACTTAAGGCCGGAAGGGAGTTTGTGAAGGGAACCTCCAACGTAGAGGTAGCGATTTTTCGAGGCCGGATGGTCTCCTGGGACAGGAAGAACGTCAGCTTCTAACCCAAGCTCCGAAATCTAGAATAAAATCACAATATCGTTGCACTTGAACCAGGAAATGTCACCATAATTTCAAAGTGCAATGATCGATCTCTCTTTCTCTCACTTTCTTTCTTTTTCTCTCTTTCTTTCTGTTTCTTTTTTTGTTTTTCTTTGTTTTTTCTTTCTCTGTTTCTCTTCCTCTTTATTTCTCTGTCTCTGTTTCTCTCGCCGTCTTTCTCTTTCTCTCTCATTATGTCTTTCACTTTCTCTTTCTGTTGCTTTCTGTTTCTGTTTTTTCTCTCTTTCTTTCTGTTTCTCTTTGTTTTTTACTCTCTCTCTTTTTCTCTCTTTCTCTTTGTCTTTCTCTGTTTCTTTCTCCGTCTTTCTCTCTTTCTCTTTGTTTCTCTCTCTCTCTCTCTTTCTCTTTGTTTCTTTCTCCGTCTTTCTCTCTTTCTCTCTCTCTCTCTCTCACACACACACACACATACACACCTTCCACACCCAGCAACACAACTGGGACCACAATTTCCTTTGCCGAGCAAGCCAACCAATAAGAAAATTGACCAGATTCCCTGGCCATTTTTTTTATTTTTTTTTAACCACAGTCGTTCAGCAAATCCCGCCGGAGTGAATCACATGGACGTTAAGTGAGTCCAGCTTTTCCCCAATGACTTTGTTTGCTGGAGGCCTCCAGGGAAGGTCGCAAAAAGGGGACGGCGTGACCCCCCCCAGGACGCCGATGCAACTTCAAATGAGTGGTTGTAATTTGAAGGCTACGTTTGGCTCCATCGCCTGAAGAACCTACCATGAGAAGGGTGTTTTTCCCTACAAGTCCGGCAGGTCGGATCCCTCTGGGGCCGTGTTCGAAAACAGCCCCATCTTCTGTCCGGGTGGAATGAATCCATCCCCCCAACCGGTGGCTGCCTTCCAAAAGGGTGACCTGTATGGATGCCCGGGGCGGGGGGGGGGGGGGGGGGGGGAAAGCCAGGAAAAAGAGAGAAAAATAAGATAATACAACACATCGATTGGGTTGGTTGTGGAGTGGTGCGGTCACCTCCCAATCAGGAGGCTGTGTGAGTTCAATCCTAAGTAGAAGCAGATATTTCTCTCTCTCTCTCTCGGCGTCGTGAGATTATCTGCCAAACAAAACTCCGCCTTGGCAACAGGAAGGGCATCCGGCCAGTAAACACGCTGCTAGCTCCATTCGGTTGCCCAGGCTCCACCCTGCAAGGGATTATGGCCGTGATGGCGAACCTATGCCACAGGTGACACGCAGAGCCATTTGTGCCGGCATGCGAGCTGCAGGCAAACTTACCTCACTGTGCATATGCGTGTGTCTCACAGCTGACTTTTGGCTAGTTTGAGGCCTTTTTCGGCCTCCCAGAGGCTTCAGGAAGGCTTCTGCAGGCTTTTCAGACTGAAAATTAGGCCCGTTTCATCACTTCCTGTTTTTCCGGAAACGGGCCTAGTTTTTGGCCTGCAGAAGCCTTCCTGAAGCCTCTGGGAGGCCGAAAAAGACCTCAAATCGGCCGAAAATCAGCTGTGAGGTGAAATGCAGGTAAGGGGGTGGGGGGGAGGGGTTGCGCACCATTTTTGGCACAGGAGCCCAAAAAGGTTAGCCGCCACTGGATTATGGGGTCATTAAATGACAGATTGAGTTGGTCATACATTGAGGACTTCCTTTATGGTTGTTTTGGCCCGGATGGAAATTAAGAGGAGGAAGAGAGGATTCCGAAAACGACTCTTTCCCCTCTTAACTTCCATCCGGGCCAAAACACCCATACAAGGTAGGTAGTCCTCGGCGTATGACCAAAATGAAAACCCAAATGTCCGTTGCTAAGTGAGTTTTGGCCCCATTTCTTGCCACAGCGGTTCAGCGAATCGCTGCAGTTAAGTCGGTAACACCGTCATGAAGTGAATCCGGCTTCCCTATCGAGTTTGAAAGGATTGCAAAAGGGGACCCGCACTGCGACCGCTGTAAATACGAGCCAGTGGCCAAGCGTTCGAAGTTCGATTCTGTGAATGCTGCGACGGTCATTAGTGTGAAAAGTGGTCATAAGTCACCTTTTTTTAAAAATGCCGTTGTAACTTCGAACAGTCAAATGAACTGTTGTAATCCGAGGAGCCTAAAATGTCCATTGCTAAACCAAACAGTTGTTATAATTTGATATGTGCTACAATCTAGATTTTATGTTTTGTATATTAGATGTGACATGGGTTATTTCACAAATGTAGTTTTAACTCTGTCCTAAATTTTATTTGTCTATAAATCAAATACTGATCTTTGACAGCAATAAATCTCTTTGATTGGTTGATTGATCGATTCAATGGGCAAAGTTCTCACCTTAGAGGCCAGTGAACTTCTGGCAAGGTAATAGCAAGCTGCGAGACCAGTTACTCCTCCGCCCAGGACGGCTACTTTCAGCTGCATTGGGAATCTGAAAGGAGAGAGGATGCGATAAAAGTTGGGTTTCCAAAAATCTGGGTGAATTCCCCCCAAATTGGGTAAAAGTGGCTTCCCTTTGGGTGACGGCACACGAACCCACGACCCAATCCCAGCAGGGAGCGTTCAATTAAATGTAATGAATTCAATTGCCTCATGAATTTGTGGGCGCTCCAACATGGGAGGTTTTTAAGAAGAGATTGGACAACTGTTTGTCTGAAATGCGATACGGTTTACTGCTTAAGCAGGGGTTTGGACTATTCTTTTTTCCTTCCTTCCTTCCTTCCTTCCTTCCTTCCTTCCTTCCATCCATCCATCCATCCATCCATCCATCCATCCCTTAAGTTTTCAAGAAGAAACTGGAGATTTGTCTGGAATGATTATAGGCCCTATATTAATTATATTATATTATATTATATTATTATATTTATTATATTATATTAATTATATTATATTAATTATATTAATTATATTATATTATATTATATTATATTATATTAATTATATTAATTATATTATATATTATTATATTATATTATATTATATTATATTATATTATCATATCATATCATATCATATCATATCATATTATATTATAGGGTCTCCTGCTTGAGCAGGGGTTTGAAGACCTCCAAGGTGCTGCCTTCCAACTCGGTTATGAGAGAGGGAGGGAGGGGAAGAGGAGTGAAGTGGAAGAAAGATATGGGAAGAGAGAGGAAGGAAAGAAGGAAATGGGAAAAAGGAAGAAAGGGATGGGAAGGGAGGAAGAAAGAAAGGGATGGGAAAAGGAAGGAAGGGATGGGAAAAGGGAGGGAGGGAGGGAGGAAGAAAGGGATGGGAAAAGGAAGGAAGGGGAAAGGAGGGAGGAGGGAGGGAGGGAGGGAGGGAGGAAGGAAGGAAGGAAGGAAGGAAAAGTAGTAACATCAGAAGCTGATCCACATGCAACTTTAGGCTCCTCTTCTTGCATTGCTTTAACTTACTATTATTTCCACCTCTTATTATTAGGTTTTCACACACACACACATCCCTCCTTCTGCTAGGAGCCCATTTCACACCCACCCACACCCACAAAGTCTGAACTCTCTCACTTCTCACGGTTGTTCCCTTCCTAACCCTTGCAGGGTGTTAATCCGTGAAGCTTTGGGTCGCACAGATCCTGGATTTAATCCCCGCCCCTCTCCCGTCCCTAATCGTAGATAAAATGCCTTTTTATCTGCCTTCCAACCCTACCAGAGGCGTCAATATCCACCTCCTGCAAGCTTTGCTCCTCCCGCCCCCGCTTTTTTCCCTCTCTCCTGACCCCAATTTTGCAAAAACACTAATCCCTCCCGCGTGCAAATCCCGCCTTCGCCCACTTCCGGGTGCATTCATACGACCAGCGATGACACGCGTGTCGCAGCGGCCCCTCTAACCTGAGGATCAGCCAACTCCGAGCTTCCAGTCCCCCTTCCCAGTGCAGCTGCGATGCGAGCTCCGCCCTTCCCCGCCGGGATTGGTCAAAATGGGCGTTCACGTCACCCTTCTCGGATTGGGCGGATTGCCTCCAATCGGAGGGCGTGGGCGGGGACTTCGGGATGTTGACGGAAGTGGTGTGATAACACCATTGAGCCATTTTTATTTGATTTTATTTTATTCTCGAGATCGCACCTAAATTACGTTTTGGTTTTTTTTTTTTAAATTAAGCCAATCAGACCAGATCTAATAGAGCTCTAGGTCTGATTTAACAGAGATAAATTCATGAGGTCTAGGATTTTCACCTCCTTGGACATGAGAGGAGCTGGGAAATGCCTCTTAAGGTGTGATTGCACAACTCTGCAGGGTTGTTGTGCAGCTTAGAATATATAAATTAATACAATCATTCATCATGTCAGTGTCTACTGAGAATTAAACCATTACTTTTGGGCTCGCAAAAGATTCCAATGAAACCCCTGCTGTCCCTATTCACCAAATGCTATTTTTTTAAAAAAAAATACTCTAGGGAGGTCAGACTCCCTCTGTCACTGGAGGTTCTACCTCCTGAGTGAGCTCTTGTGCTAATTTGGCCCCAATGAGGCGGTTCCAGATGGTTTGCAAGGCCTAAATTCAGAATACAGGGATTTTTTTTTTTAAATTAATATCAATTAAATAATATTAAACTTTTTTTTGTCGCCTATTGCACTGCCCAGTTTCAGAATAACCCAGGAATTACTACAACCTCCCTGCACACATGCAAAAAACACACAAGAGAAGCGCACAGACTCACAGGTTTTGATCCTAGAGGGAAAAAAACTGCTCTCCAGTTGCAAAGAAGCGAAACACAAGTTACAGAGGCAGCGACGGACCTTAAATTAAGACATAGAAACTAAGCCTGCAAAAATCAAACTGCCAGCTTGTCTGTTCTTGGCCACTTGCAACCCAAACAAAAGAAATCCACTTTTCGGACAATTCTGTTCCAGGCGTTTCGAAAAAGGGGATCTGACAATGGGATGGAAAATGGCAATAATTCTCAGTTTGATGCCTTAATGCCGTGATGGCACACCTATAACAGGTGGCATGCAGAGCCATTTGTACGAGCACGTGAGCCCCGGCTAAACTTACCTGTACTGCGCATGCGTGCGCCTCCCAGATGATTTTTGGCCCGTTTGAGGCCTTTTTCAGCCTCCCAGAGGCCGAAAAACAGGCCCATTTCATCACTTCCAGTGTTTCTGGAAATACAGGAAGTGACGAATCGAGCCCATTTTTCGGCCTACAAAGGCTGCAGAGGCTTTCCTTGAGCCTCTGGGAGGCCGAAAAATCAGCTGGGAGGCACATGCAGTGCAAGTAAGGTGGCGGTTGGGGGGAATCCCACATGCATGCGCAGGAGGTGTGGGGGACCCTGCACGCAAGGCTTTCTGGTGCGCAATTTTCGGCACAGGAGCCCCAAAAGGTTAGCCACCACTACCTTAATGGAACCTCCACATTGAGACGCAGTATATCTTACTTCATCAATTCCAGTGGTGTTTCACATCTGGCCAGAATGACTCCCACTCATCAAGATTTTCCTATCAATTAGGAAGGTGTTTTTTTTTTAACTCTTTAAAGCACCAGGATTATTGAATTAGTTAAACCTCAGAAATTTCCAGTCCCCAAATTCTCCAGGCACCCGAACAACTCAAGACCCTTTTCAAAAAGCCGGCCTTTTCGGGACACGCCTCCCACTCCCCAACAGAACCAAGACAACGTGGTGTTTCCTTTTTTTTTGTTTTGTTAAATAAATTTATTCACAAAAAAAGTTTCAATCTCTTCATTTTCTCTCGAGTCATCTACTGCAAATGTACAACAAACCCTTCATTGTGTAGAAAGTTGTTAAAACCAAGCGCGGCACCCCAGTCTCTGATTGTGGGTGGTGGGGGTGTCATAGCACACCTTAGTTTGGCCCTGAGGGTTAGTGGGGCAGCCAGGAAAGGAGGGAAGGAGGCAAAGAAAGGGAAAGAAAAAGAAAAACGGATGTGCAGACGAGGAAAAAGGCTGCTCGAGGCTTCGACCCTCCAATTCTCATTTTTTTCCCCTGCACAAAATCCATTTTTTTCTCTCCCCCATCTAAATCTTAAAACTCTGGGGAATTCGAGAGTGGGGGGAGGGGAAACCCCGCAGAGGCAAGAAATAAAAATAAAACCAAAACATTTGTTTTTTTAAAAAAAAAAGCCGAAAGAAACCTGGATTAAAAAGGTAGGAAAACCGAAGTGAAGATCCAGCCTTTGGAGAAAACGAACCCCACGCGGTAATGGTTTCTTGGGTTTTATTAATTCTTTCTGCCACCCCTGCTTTTTTCTTCCTTTTCTCTGAGGGTTTAAAAAGACCCACGGGCCAGTCGCTGAGGCAAGAGAGGCTCGTGGTCGAAAAAGGGCTGCGGATGAATACTTCTTCTTTTGTTTCCTTCTTTTTTTTTTACGGTTTCTTCCAGTGCAAGTCATCCAGCTCGTAGAAAAGTACGTAACCTTCGCTGGAGGGGACCTGGTTCTCGTTGATGGGGGACACCCTGCGGAAAGAGGGGAGGGATTGGGGAAGCGGGGAGGAGAGGAGTTAAGAGAGGTAGTCCTCGATATGACCACAACTGAATCCAAGGTTCCTGTTGTTAAGCGAGACGCTTTTGTTTTTAATTTTTTTCTCTTTTTTAAAATCTATATACTGTATATAAAAGCGAAATACCACTCACGCATCATCACAAAATCTCTAAAACCGTAAAGCCTACAAACTTGAAATTTGGCACATAGGTTCCTCTTGGTTTCTAGGGGCTCACTAAGAAAGGATTGTTTTTCCAAATGACCATCAGAGCATTAGTATTTCCTATAATATTATTATTATTAACACGCTCCGATGCTAAGGAGTTCTACTCCCCCTCCCCACCCGAAAAGAAATCTCTTCCAAATGCAAAACACAAGCAGAGGAGAGGAGTTCCAGTTTCAGTTTCACAGCACCAAGCAGCTTCGGCACAGAACAGTTGAGCTAAGCCACGCCCAGGCGCCTTGCTGTCTCCTTGCTCACACAGCAAAAACTGTTTCAGTTTCCAAACAGCCCTCAACTCTGACACACGGATAGGACGCTAGCCAGATGAATACCGATGGATGCTGGGAGGCAGAGGCATAATTCCCCCCCACACACACACACATTATTTTCCTCCCCAAAAACTAAGGCCGACCACATAGTTTCGTAGCGAAGAATGGATATCCAGCTAATATTAAACATAAAAATTGAATGTCTATAGCTACTGTAACAATGAACATTTTGCCAAGATTACTACATTTGTTCCTAATGATACTGATAAAGCTGGAGGGAAAATATTTTGCGAAATTAAATAAAATGTCAAAATAAATTTGGCAAGGGGAAAAAAAGAATCGTTCTGAAAATATGACAAGATTCCAAAAAACAGAGGGAGGTTAAGCGAGAAATTTGTAAAGTGAGCTCTGCCCAATTTTATGATTTTTGACCGCCGGGAGGCTGGGATGGTTATAAGTGTGAAAAACAGTCCTAAAGTCACTTTATTTCGGGGCCTTTGTAACTTTGAACGGTCAGTAAGCAAGGGGTTGTTGCTATGTCTAGGACTAGCTATCATTGGATGTATTTTGTTTCTCCGCACGTCGCTGAAAACTTTCACCGAAGTTTTTAAACTGTTTATGTGCAACGTCTAAATTGCACACGGAGGCTTACCGGGAATCGTTAAACACACGCCAGCCAGACTGATCCTTGCAAAAGGCTGTGTAATGACCGTAGTGGACACTTCCGGAGTGATTACACAAGGCATACAGGTTATACACGGGGGTGCCTTCAAGAGAGGGAAAACGGCAGGGGATGTAAACAGATACCGAAGAACAGATTTCATGCTACTGATGAGATTGGCTCTGTTTAAAAAATACTTTTAAAAATTCTATTCTATTCTATTCTGCATTCTATTATTCTATTGTATTCTGCATTCTATTATTCTATTCTGCATTCTATTATTCTATTCTATTCCAATTCCATTCCACTCTATATTTTATTCTCTGTTCTATTCCCATTTCTCTCCTATTCTATTCCTCTATTCCCATTCATTCCATTCCAATTCCATTCTATTCCACTCCATTCTACTCTATATTCTATACCCTGCTCCACTCTATTCCTTCTTTGTTCCATTCCATTCTATTCCTTTCCCATTCCTTCCACTTTATTCTACTCCATACTCTATATTCTCTACTCTACTCTACATCTAAGTCTGTCTAACTCTACTCATTCTTTGTTCTATTCCATTCCACTCCATTCTAAAAAAAAAAAGAAAAAATTAAAGATACCCAGAAAGAATCGTCCCCAAATTCAGAGCATGACTTACCAGCCTTTTCGCTTGCAAACTCCTTCAGGTTGAGCTGCTGGAGGGGGAAATCTACATAAACGGAGCATTTCTTAATGGAATAGCGGGTGGTGGAAAACCGGTTGAGATCTGAGGAAACCGAAGGTCAAGGAGCAGATAACTCACAGCTTTGGCATAACGTTGATTATTATTATTATTTTTAGGCAGCCCATCTCACTATTAGGTGACCCTGGAGGAGGGTTTTCAACACGCCACCTTTCTCCCTCTTTCTCCCACATTTTCTTCCCTCAAAAATCCCAGCGGGATGGAGAAGCAAATAATGGGAAAGGATACGTAGCACGAGGATACGGGGGAAACGCTGGATGGTCAGCTTCTTGGTGCTTCGGGTCCTTTGCCGGCATTTGTCACATACCTAGGGGGAGAGGAGAGAGACAGAGAGAGAGAGACAGATAGGAGAGGGAGGGAGAAAGAGAGAAAAAAAGAGAAGAGGGAGAGAGAAAGAGAGACAGACAGAGAGAAAGAGAGAGAGAGACGGAGAGGGAGGGAGAAAGAGAGAGAGAGAAAGAGAGGAGAGGGGGAGAGAGAGACAGAGAGAGACAG